GGAGGAGGAGGAGGAGGAGGAGGCAGTTCCAGGTTGATCTGCCTTCTGACAGGTCCCTGCCTGGCTGGCAGGAACGGAGAGGGTATTGACCAAGAGCTTGGGAGCTGGACACTGAAGACCCACCAGAGTGCATTTCATACATCATGCAAGAAGGGTGGGAAGAGCTTGTAGCCAGATGCATCTCACCCAGTACAGCTCATGGGGAGAGGATGGCAGAGGGGTCAGGCCGGTTTCCTGCCTATATCTCAATGGAAAGAATACAAGAAACCATAGATTATTCACCATCCTTTCATTCATCCCACATTTGTTGATTGAGTGCCTATGATACGCCAGCCAACCACAGTATAAGGTACTGTGATGATGAGCTTAGAAACTTATAGCTTGGCAGTTCCAGTGTCTTGGGGTGGGGGTCAGTTCAACCATCAGCGACAGTGGTATCGATCAGCTAAGAATCTCTCTGGTCTGGAGAGGTCAGGGTCCTTGAGGAACTTGAGCTGTGCCTGGAAGGGGCCTAGTGAGAAGCGCACTGAAAGGAAGACTAAAAGAGGGGCTCTCTGGGGAATGCATGTGGCCTCGTGGATGCTGGCTGTTGTAGATTGAATCGTGTCCTCTGCAGAAGTCATGTATTAAAACTCCAACCCCCCAGTGTGACTGTCTTTGGACATAGGGGTCTTTAAGGGGGAAATTAAGGTCGAATGAGGTCATAAGGGCCTCAATCCAATATAATTGGAGTCCATATATGAAGCGGAGGAGAACACACCAGGGGTGCATGGACCCCGAGGCAGGCTGTGTGAGGACATGAGAGGGCTGATGTCCACAAGCCAAGGAGAGAAGCCCAAGGAGAACACATCCCTGCTGACACATGCATCCTGTCCTTCCAGCCTCCAGACCCGTGAGATAGGACATCGCTGCTGGTTAGGCTACCTGGCCTGTGGACTTTTGTTACAGCAACCTGAGCAAACTAATACACTGATGAATGTTGCAGAGTTGGCTTAACGTAGTTTGTGCACAACAGCCTGGCCTGTAAGCGCTCGAGGGGCCACAGTGGGTCTGATCTGTACCCCCCGATCATCTGGAGTCACAGGCACCTGGTAGGAGCCCACAGTCGGGATCTAGGCACTGATAATATGTGTCTACTCCAGGGGGAGGATGGCAGGAAGGGAAAGTGGGTGGATACAAAGGAATCACATTTGAGGACTAGAAGTTGGCGAGCATCTGGACGTGGCTGACTCTAGTTCCAGGTGACATGGATCCCAAGTGTGAAGCTTTAGAGCCTCACCTTCCATCTCTGTCCTATACCAGCTTCCAGGAGCCAAGTTACTGAGTCCTCAGCACAAAAGGAGGTGGGATCTAATAATAATAATAATAATAATAATAATAATAATAAGAAGAAGAAGAAGAAGAAGAAGAAGAAGAAGAAGCAAGCAGTTCAAGCTCTCCTGCTGGATCCAGGCTTGGCATATTTGTCAAAGCTCTTTATTTACCTGATTTTTTAAGATATGACTTTATTCTGTTAATCAGTATAGTTTCACTATATTGTCCTTAATCTCCTAAACTGTATGGTTTTACCGCACATTAATCTCGTGAATCTTAAACTGTCTGTAATCTCTCTCTCTCACACTCTCTTTGTGGTACTTAGAATTGAATTCAGGACCTGCACATTGAGCTATATCCCAGCTCTTCCTCCCTTTCTTCTCTCCCTCCCTCCCTCTGTCTCTCTCATGTTGAGACAGGTTTTTAGTAACTCACTAAGTTGCCCAGCCTGGGCTCAAACTTGCAATCCTCCTACCTCAACCTCTCAAAGTGCTGGCATTACAGATGTGCATCACCACAGCTGGCTAGAGTATAGTTTCAAACTGGAGGGGGAAAGAGTGACAGTGCACTGAGGTTGTTTGATATTTGTTAATCAGGCAATTTTAGGACTCCATCATGTTGGATAATTTATTTAACCTTTTTAGTCTCTGCATGTTCATGGTGTAAATTAGGAAGCTAATGACCAAACCTTTAGTGAGGATTATGAGGTATTATGCACCTGAAGTATTTTAAACAACACTTAGTGTACAATTAAATATGAAGTGATATCTATGTTATTTTTCATCATATATTCCCCTTTCTTTACTGGGAAGATTCCTTATAAGTGGCATATCTGGGGAGTAAAATGGGGCTGAGGGGCTGCTGGTGGTTCATTTGGGTCTACTTTTTTTAGTTAACTGAAAGTCACATTAAAATTCCTTCTGGCTAAAACTTCTGTTACTGCACATATTCCTGAAAGGAAGTCTGCTTTTCTGCTTCAGAAGTTCAGTTGATGAAAGTCTCCAGATCTTTCTTTATGTGGCTTCCCTGTAGGAGCCACCTTGACCTCATCATTCTGCACAGTAAATTAAAATTCACAGGACTCTGGCATGTAGGAATTAGGCTGAGCCTTTTGTGGGAATCTAAGTCATCCCTTGCAAGTTGCATTTTTACTGGAATGTGTTTTATGCGTTTCATGTGTTACACTGTGTGGCATTCATCCTTAAAGCCCTACCACACAGCACCAGGGAAGGGGCCGGGGACTGGTTGCCTAGAGGTGAGGACCAATTAATCAAGGTTTTCCAAAACCCATCCTAGGTTACGGTGCTTCTAAATCTCAGATCAGCTTCTCCATGCCTGGGGTTTGAATCAAAATAATGACGTCTCTGACTCCCATCCTCAGGGCATTAATTTTTAATCTTCTTTCTCTTTGGGGTAATTAGAAAGAGAGGGATGTGGGGGTTGGGAAGAGAAATGGGAGGAGATATGGTTGGCAGAGTCGAAGTGGGTGTTTTTACAGTGCAGCTTCTTCCACAGACAGGGAGCAACAGTGAAGGCTGGCGGCTGAATTCAAGTCCATTGTGGGGGGGAAGCAGAGGCCGGGTGGGCCTGGAGCAGGTGGCTGAGGATGCCAGGTCAGGGTACTCCCCGACATGGGAACTGGAGGGCATTTGGAGAATGAGCCAGAGCTGTGCACCTGTGTTTAAGACTGGGAAGCTGAGAGACACTCGAGTGTGTGTGGATTTCTCCCTTGGCTTGTATGAGTAAGTAAAGACCAGGTTACCATTTCTAGCACTCACACTCCCCAGAGTCTCTGCGGTCACTATGGAATGTGAGGGACAGAAGTCAGCATCTTGGATACAACCAGCAGGGTCTTCCATCCTTCATCTCTTGTGATGCCACCACAGAAAAGCCAATTTGGATACCTGAGAACATGGTGCATTTATGTTCAGAATGAAGGCTCCTGCTGGTTTCCTGGGTGAACGAGGGAGGCCTCCTAGCCCCCCCACCAAGGGTGGGTTGTAGATAAGAGGACCCTGGGAGTGTTTGATTTTAAGCTTAGGTGAAAATAACTCTTTTCTCCAAATGGTTACTTTAATTTTAAACATTTTAATTGTTAAATACAATAAGCAGAAGTCCTCAGTGACATGAGAAAAGCTTTATGGGAAGCTATAAAGTAGAACAAATAATTGTAATTCTTAAACTGTGTGCATCTTACAAGCATAAGTGTACACGTGATTGATTGCCTACTCTCAAACTTTTGCTAGCCAGTTTTCCATTTGTTTCTGTATTCCGAATATGTATTACTGTGTTTGGCACATGATAAAGGATCAGCAGATGCTTGTTGAATGAATGAGGGCCAACATTCTGATTGGGGGCAAGTAAAAAGGGAAGTTAGAACTCTCCTTTGATCTCTGAGCTATACTCTTGGTGACACAGAACAGCAGCATCTTAGAAAGGAAAAGATTTTAATTGTCTTTGACTTTGTGCTGGGAGAAAGTGAGCCTGGGAGCACTGCATAGCAGGGAATGTGAGTCTTTAGGTATGTGGGGATTGGGAATTCTGAGAACTCAGTGTTACTCTTGTGAATCTATTCTTCCTCCACCTCCAGCGAGATGTGCCTTTCTTCTTTGAGTTTCTGTGTGTTGTAGTCAGGTTTTGCAAGGGAATAGATTTAATACAGGACACAGGATTATTAATACATGATCATTTTATAATATTCACCCAGAAAGTCAAATGCAAAAGAGTGCAAGAGATCTGTCCACATGTTAGAGACCCAAAGAATCCAGCTGAGGGCCTGGATCCCACGGCGATGTCTCATGCAAGTCCCTTTCAAGGATCGGCTCCAGGAAGGCTCAAAGGCCAGTGATGGAAGCTAGAAAGTCTGAGCCTGTGGGGTGAAGGGGCTATGCCATCAGGCTCAGGGATCTGCACTGGAGCCAGGAAACAACACTCAAAGGGAAGACCAGAGCTCCCCCAAAGAGAGCAGCAGCCGTCCTTGGTGACAGTGAGGACCTGCTCTCCCCTGACAATGAGAACAGCTGAGTTTGTATCAGGAAAACCAGCCGTGTATGCTTCTCTAGGAAAATCAATCCTATCCTCGGTGTCTCCTTTTAGTTATTTTCCTTCCAGGGCCCCTCATTGTTCTGCTTTGTGGAGAATCCCTGTTTTTGCTGTTTTCAAGGTTGATCCGGATCTCTCTTCCCTACTACAATAGTCTAGAATAAAGTCTTCCTGTTTTAACAAGTATCAGAATATTTACATTTTTTAAACAAAGCACATCAGAGTGATATGTCAGCCTTTGGATAGGCTGGTCTTGAGTTCCGGGTCTGTCCCTGGCTCAGTGATCTTGATTAGTGTGAGACTGGATCGTGTGGTATAGATCCTGGCCTTTGAGGGTAGATTGCTCCTAATGGAGCCAGGAGAGGGTAGCAGCTATTGGCTTCTCAATTAAATTGGGAACAAGTTGATAGAAAGAGGGGGAGAAAAGCCTGGGAAGCAGGAGGCTGACTGCTTTCTGGGATGGGTGGTCCAGGGAGCACTGGAACCATCCAGTGCATGTGTGTTTTCCATGCTGGCCTCCTAGAGGTCACAGTTGCATGGGGCAACCAGGCATCCCAGGAATAATTACACAAATATCTGGCAAAGAGAAGAGTCTGGGTTTCTAACCCCGCCTTAGCATGTTCTGGCTTTTTGATCTTGGGAAAGTCTCTTAACAGCTCTGAAACTCATTGCTTCACTTATCAAATGGTGCTATTATTGGTTTCTACTTTGTTGAGTTATTTTAAATGAGATGATGTATGTATGATACTTAACACAGCACCTGATGCATTGCGTTGGTGCTGACCAAAAGTGAGTCCTCCTTTGTCTGTCTTTGAGCTCATGCAGAGTCCCAACGAATTGTATTTTGTTATTGAGGTCTTAGTGGATCTACTTTGGAACCACCATCTTTTGTCTTTAGAAATTTAAAAAATTCTCACTTTACAGTGGACTTGGTTTCCTCCTCCCAGGGTAACAACCATGACTAGGCGGGCCACTGGTCTGAAGTTCTTTGAATTCTTGCTCTAGCATGTGTCTGGGACTTTCGATGTGTGTTGCTTTTAGGGAGAAGCTTTTAGGGAGAAACTTCTTGGAAGGCAGGGCAAGTTCCCAGCTGCAAAGCGGCTTCTTTCTGGTGCCGACCATGCTGCCGAAGCCATCATTCCAAGCCCAGGGAGTCAACTCTCTTCAGATAGAAATCAAGGGGGCTTGACAACGTGTCCTTCTGTGGCCATCAATCACTGGCAGGGCCCGGATGGGGCGGCGGAGGGGGAACCGGCAAATAAGCAGTTTGCATTAGTAGAACCACATGCAGCCCTTTGCCTGTGGTAATTGAAAAACATCTAATTTCTACTATGTCCCTGGAGTATCTTCACATTCGGATTCCTATGGAGTCTCCAAATCTTATCATTACAGCTGAGGAGGCTGAAGGGATTTGCTTTCCAGAGTTGAGTGGTGAGGAGTCTGGGGGCCCAGGAATGGGGCGCAAAGGCCACAGTTTCTGGCTAGGTTGGTAGGATAGGGCAGAGGGTGGAGACCCCAGGAATCTGTGAGTGAGGCAGTGGGATGGGCTGGGTGGGCCAGCGCTTGCTTTGGCCTGTGACGTGTGTGCAAGCAGCCCGTTATCACCTGTAATCTCCACTTCCACAGCACGCAAGTGGGTGCTATGGCCCCCACTTAACAGACAGAGAAATAAAGGTGTGAAGTCAGACCTGGTTCTGGAAGCCAGATCTGTGTGATCACAATGGCTGTGCTTTTTTCCCTCCATGCTGGGGATTGACCCCAGGGATTTTCTACCACTGAGCTACTTCCCCAGCCCTTTTTATTTTGAGACAGAGACTCCCAAAGTTGCTCAGGCAAGACATAAACTTCCAATCCTCCTGCCTCAGCCTCCAAGTGCTAGGACCACAAGTGTGCACCGCCACACCCAGCTACCCATGCCTTTTTAAAAAAAATCACATGCCTTATCAACATTAATATGATACCAACCTGATTTCTGTCACCTTATTATGATTTTGTATCTTATCCTCAAGTTGACTCACTTTTTAAAAACTTTTGCCTTGTCACAGGGATGATATCAATGAAATCCTGGGTTTGATGTGCTACTAATTTTTCTTCCTAATACATATTAAAATAAAATGATAGTCATGACTTTTTGGAAAGTTCATTGAGATACCACCCACACAGATGTACCACATCTGTGTACCCTACCAATGTACACAGATTTCAGTGTGGGACACTTCTCCACTGCATAAATAACGGAAGGACAGCAACTATAACAACATCTTCCACTCCTGAGCATCACTGCGTGCCAAGCCTGTGTAAAGGAGTATGGTGTGGAGAACACGGGCTCTGGTTAGACCTGGGTTTGAAATTCAAATCTGCCACTTTTCCCCAGCATGTGACCTTGAACAACTCACTTATCTTCTTTATTCCTCAGTTTTCTCATTGTAAAATGGGGATAATAATAGTATCTACCTTCTAGCATTGTTTCAAGAATTAAACAAGTTAATAATACCACTTAGAAAAGTGCCTGGAACATACTAAGTGTGATGAAAGTATTAGAGCTCATCCATCCATCCATCCATCATTCTCTCATCTGACAATTAGTTACTGACTGAGCACATCCCGCAAATCATCAGCCTGTGTTCTATAATCTTTGCAGTGATTTGGGGATATGGGTATTATTATTATTTGCATTTTACAGGTGAGAAAATTTAGGCTGAGTAGTTTCCCCCAGCGTCTCCAAGGAAACACATGTTGGCACTAGGATTCTCACCCAGGTGGATCTGAAGCTCTGCTGTCACCATCTGTCTCTGCCTACGGAACCCTTCTGGCACTGACCTGTTCTTGGCCATGGGCAGAGTGTCTCACAATTCAGTTCACTTCCGACACAATCAACTTGACCTTTCAAGCTAAGGGCTCAGTCTCACAAGATTGCCTCATTTCAGATGCCAATCAGGAGCCCAGGCCACCATGTTTCTGACTGGCTGTCAACTAGGGGCTTCCACAACCACTTCCTCAGCTTGGATCTTTTGCTAGAATGCCTTCCAGAATTCAGGAAAACAGTTTACACAGTGTCACCCGATTATTATAAAGGGCACAACTCAGCCAAATGGAAGAGATGCAGCAGGCAAGGTCCATGGCAGGGAGTCCAGAGCCCCTATTTCCTACGTAGGTGCACAACGTCACCAGCACCTCGGGTGCTCACCAGACTGCAAGCTCTCCAAATGCCATTTTTTATGTTGTTTATGAAGTTCCATTATGAACTCAGTCTCCAACTCCTCTCCCTTCCCTTCCCCAGAGGTTAGGAAGTGGACTGAAAGTTCCAACCCTCTAGTCAATCATACGATTGGCTCATCTGGAACCAGCTCCTAACCAGCAGCTATGTGGGAGTCCACCGAGAGTCATCTCCCTATCAAATAACAAATAGCAAACAACTAACACAAATAATAAATGACAGAAGACACTCTTAACCTTCTCACTTAGCAGATTTCAAGGATTCTTGAGCCAGGTACTAGGGATAGAGACCGAGTCTACATTTCTTGTTATAAGGCAAGAAATAAGATGCTCTTATCTTCTCTGCAATTATTGCTTCCCCAAGCAGGGAAGGCTACTTCCTGATAGAGGGTCACCCACCCCCTGTTCCTCAGACAGATAGCCAGACTTCATTCTCTTGAGCCAACTGAGCCTTGGCTGGTTTTCAGAAAGCAATGGGTGTCACCTGTCTGTCCCCACCTTCCAAATGTAATTTTGGTTCTGGGTGAACTGGTGTTAGGTTCCTGTAGCTTGTCACAATGTCTTTGTGTCCCTCTGCTGTTTCTGCCCAGACCTGGGAGCCCCTGCACACAGTGAGAGGCCAACATGTATTGGAAGACAGAACCACAATTGATCTGGGACAGACAGATCCCACCATAAGAGCACAACCACCACATCCACACAGATGCATCATGTGTTGCAAGTTTCAGGAGCTTAGGGCTTGTTTTTGATTATAAAATAGTGGTTTGCTTCACAGGCAATGCCACCAGGGAGTGCTTTTAGTTAGAGAACTTTACAAGGAACTGTTACCTCCTGTAGCTTCTTATGATTTCATTCTCTGGGCAAAGCTAGGTTTACCCATGCAACAATAATTTTGACTTTTGTTTTCCCCCCTTCCTAGGAAGACCTCTGACCAAAATGTTATCATTCCTAGTACCTAACTTCTTTCTGAGTGCAAGAAATTCACATCTTTCCTTCTTTTGGAAAGCCAGCAGTGATCCCAAGTGGAGGTGACTTTCCACATATGTTCGGAACCCGTTTCAATGGTATCCAGACAGTAGCTTTGTGCCATCTCAGACAGGACCTGCTTTTCATCAGCCACCCACCAGCCACCTTTAGCCACTTTTCAAGATCCATCCATTTGAAACTTTTCTCATCTCTTCTTCCTTCAGACTCCAAGTCTCTTTCAGTTTTTTCCCTACCTGATGCATGATTTCACTAAGTCACTTGTAGGTTAAGAGTCAGCTATGGAGTCAAATTTATGAAAATCCTGGCTTATTGGCCTTCAGAAAATCATTTCACCTCTGTATGCCTTGGCCTCTGCTTCCTCCTTTATTAAATGGGGAAAAAACACAGCTGTCATATCCTGGGCTTCTTTGGAAGATCGAGTACTGAGAGAGGACTAGTAGACAGTAAATAGGCAGCAGGGGCCAACCAGGCACAGTGACTGGAGTCATTCCAGTGTCATGTTCCCAACTAGACTGTCAGATGCTGGAGGGCAGAGACTGAGGCTTGGGTTTGCATTCTGTTTTCTGGAGTCAAACACAGGGCTGAAGTCACACCAGGACTCAGCAACTGCTCAGTGAAGTTAAAGAGGTTTCAAATGGCACACTTTCCCTTCTATCTGCTTTAGTAGAATTGCATTTAAATAAATTCAGTGTTTGGCTGATACTTAGACCCTCTTTATGGAATGTGTGTGCCAGTGATTAAAAAGACTTTTAAAAAATAAGTGTTTATCTTCCTGGAGAAATAAGGATCCAGACAAGGTCTTATGCCTTTAAAACTCCTGGTCTTTCGTCCACTAATACCTCCCAGAATGAGCTAAGCCCAAAGGGGCATCACCTTTGCTCTCTCGGTAGGAAGTGAAAGCGGCCTGATTCTAGAAGCAGCCTGTGAGGGGGAAGTAGGAGCAGCTCTGAGAATGGGGAGGTCTTGTGGGAAACGTTAGTAATCAAAATTATCCCTCATTTCAGCAGCCACTCAAAAGAGCCCCACCTGGCCCCTTCCCCTGAGGGCTGACCTTGCCCCTGGGCCTTCAGGATGGGCCCAGCTGGGGCAAAGAAGGAGCAGTCATCCAGGGGCAGGTTACCAGCAGGCATGATGTCAGGTGGCTCCTGTCTCCTAAGAGCCCCGTGCTGGCCAGTACAGAGGCAGCAGCTGTGCCCACTGATCTGCCCTTCTGCGGAACCCTCACCGGTCTGGAGCTTGGCAGATGGCAGGAGGCCGGAGATGGCCTTCCCTTCCTTCCTTCTTCCTGCAGTTCTCCCCGAGTAGCCCTCTTTCTGTAGCTTTCCCTAGAGGGCCCATTTGCGGAGGCGGGGCTCCAGGAGCTTCGGGGGAGAGGCGAATGTGGGGGACTGGACTGCAGAAAGGTGTCAGGTCCCTGAGATGGGCCTGGCAGAGCTTTCTTGGGGCCAGAGGGTGTCCTGGGAAGAGCTGGGTCCAAAATCAAATAGATCCCAAGTGAAATTCTGGACCCAGGCCTTTCAATGGAACCATGCACAGATTGCTCCTTTTTGAGCCTTAGTTTTCCTACCTGTAAAATGATAGATGATTACACTTTTCCTGGATTTGGTGTGCTTTCTTTAGGTGATAATACTTGGGGTTGTCTGAGAGACACCGCAAGGACATGGAGAACGTGCTCAGTGAGAGCTGGGTGCAGTGTAGCCCTGTGCTGCTCCTCCCCACTAAACACTAAAGAGACCACTAGCTGGAGCCTAGAAGCTGTGGTACAGTGGCTGCTGGATGTTCTGTTGATGCCTGTGTCCGCTCTGCTCTTTTGTCCTGGGATTGCCCTGAACAGCCTTCTTAAGTCTGATGGGTTCCCTTGGATACTTGGGTCTTTAAATCCAGAGTCATCATTGTGCAGACAAGGACCTGAGGCCCAGAACTGTCATACGCAAGAGGCAGAAGTGGGATCAGGTCCTTGGTACAGCTGCCTCTGTAACTCCCTGGCTCCTCAGGAGGCTCTCCCAGGTCCTGAGCATTTGATCGCACGGTTTCCTCTCCCAAGAACAGCCATCCGCTGACTCTGCTGTTCTGCTCCCTGCCCTCAGCCTTCAAAGCAGGAGTCCCCTCTTTGGAGGAGCCTTGCCTACCAGTCCCACACCCCAGGGCTCCTGCACTGACCTCTGGGGTGATACTTGTCACACTTGTGCTGTGGACAGCTCTTTCCCCGTTTCTCCTACTTAACAACAGACTTATCGTGGACTCAGGCCAAGTGGTGCTCCTTTTTTGTGCTCTGTTCTCATATCTGGCACACTGTAGGCTCTCCAGGAACTATTCTTCAAAGGCTGTGGAGAGGGTGAGCGAAGACCTGGCCTCCAAGGTGCTCGTGGTGGTGGCTTTTCCCAGAGGCCCCCAGGCTCCACTGACAGGGTGGCAGAGTCCCAGCTTGCCTGCTGTCACAGGCTGTGCCTCCCCAGGATCCTCTCTGTCCTGGGGTCTAGGGAGTGGCCACCTCCACCTTCCTTGAGGGCCCAGAGTACTTCCTGGGGGCTGCAGGAAGCCTTCCTCCATGAGGCCCAGAGCAGCCCGAGGTACAGGATCTACACCGAAGACAGCCCTGTGGCCCTGTCCTTGTCTGATATCCTTCCAGGGACTGAGTTCCCAGAAGGTGCGTTGATGGAGACATCATTATATTGCCCTCCAGAGCTTGGAATAAGTAACCCCGATGCATTCATTCATCCACTCACACATTCGTTCAGTGCATTTCCTCTCCCATTAGGGCACATAATCACAGAGTGACTGTCTACAACTTTATCACTCACACAGCTCCCGTGTCACTCAGGGCAGGCAATTAGATTTTCCCAAAGGCCAGATTTGGGGGTCAGGAGGGCAGGCGGATGGAGCATTGACAAGTACTCTGATGTCAGCTTTAAAATATGCTGTAGGGTCCTGAAGTAATATGTTGCCTGCCCAGACACATGTGCCCCCAATGTCCCTAGCAGGCTCAGGGTGCCACTGCTCTTCCCTCCCCCAGGGCAGGGTCCCAGCAGGGGACTGAATAAGGGAGCCACACTGATTTTCTCCCGTGTGGAAACAAATAAGCCAGTTTCCTTGCTCATCTCTAGAGAAATGAAGAACGCTGATGAGAGGGGAATGGGGCCCGAGCTCCCTCCTGTCCACAGCAGCAGGATCATGAGAAACTGGAGTGGGGGGTCTGTGTGGCTTTGGAAGAGTCATTTTTTAAGCTGTGTTATGAGGTGAGTGATCTCAGCCCTTCTCCCTCATAGGGTGTTTCAGAGACTACACGAGGTTACGTTTGGGAAGATGAACAGGATATCAGCAGCTAATGTTCATTGGGCACTCATTGCACTCAGGTGTTGCTTCAGCTTACATTTTATAAATAAAGGAGCTGTGACTCAGGGAAGTGAAGTGCTTCCACACAGTCACACAGCACATAAGCGAGAGAGCACGGACTAGGGCTGTGACCCCAGAGCCCGTACTCTTAACCACGACACTATATATTGTTTCAGATTTTAGCTATGCAGCCTTGGACAAACCACTTCCCTCTCTCATTTTCAGTGGCACCATCTGAAAGTGAGAGGCTTGGTCTGAATCATTGCTAAAGTCCCTTTCAGCTCCAAATTCCTGGTCATAGTTTAACAAAGGACACATACACTCACCACTGTACAACTCCTGCTTCCTCCAAGTTGGTCTTCTTGGAGCATGGAAGGACTTGACCATTTGCAGACTGTAGATGGGAAAGTGTGCTAGATGGGCTAGCAGATTGAAACACACTTCTAAATAGCAGAGCAGAGCCTCCTAAGTGGGAAATGGATGTTGTAATACAAAGGCAGTTAGCAAGGTCCTTGGAGGTTTCAGCAGGATGTAATTATGGTTCTTTAAAAAAGGGCTCGCATATGTTTTTGAGCAAACTTAACAGATGCCCGGATGTCATGTCTCTATTCTTTAGGGAGTCTAGGATGACTAATTTTCCACAGCAACTTTGCATAGCACATTGGAATGACCCATTGCAAATCAATTTCTAGGGTGCAATTTAATGAAAGCTTTCATTGATGATTCAGATTAATAATCTAAAAACCTTGTAAAATGACCGCAACTTCATTTCTGCCTGATCTACTTTGTTAGATAAATAAGACAGATAGTTCTCTCTGTAGTTACCACTGAATGGGACTCCTTTTAAAAAGAAATCCTTAGCCAGGCCTGTTCACAGGGATTGAGGGTTTTAGTGCTGCATGGTTCAGTTCTGGCACAAATATTGTCTGCAAACTTTTGTGACTTCCTTAGAGATTTTCTCTGAGCTATGAGCTCTCGGGAGAGCTGGGTGGTTCCCTGCCATTTTATTGTAGAATTAAATGCACATTGATTCTAAAGAATCAATGCCCAGTTAAGGCAGTTTGGGGCCATTTCCTCCCCTAGCATATTCACTCTGGAAAGGTTTCTAGGAAACCCTTGTCCTCTTGACGCTTTTGAGAATATTGAACCGCCACATCAGGGAGTCAAAAAAATAACAAGTCTAATTTCCTTTGGTGGGCACCTTGACATCTCTTTCCTTGCTGGAGCTCTAGGCAGCCTGATAAATTTCCAATCCAATCTGCTAAATCAAGTGGCTCTTGTTCCTGAGCCCTGGTTCCAAGCTTCTGGGTTTACTTCTTGGTACTGGGTGCCTTGGAGCTAAGAAGTTTCCCTCGTAATAATAAGCAGTTGAAGATGGTTGAAGACAGAAGTCTTGCACATGTCTGGTTGAGGAGATTGTCAGCCTGTCCTTTGCCTCCAGCCATTCCTAAGCGTCCATAATTTCATGGCCATCGACTCACCTCCTCCGCCACACACTCTCTGATTGGCCTGCTGCCCACATCCTGTAACTGTGCCAGTCACCCCATGACCCTTCCTTTGCGGAGCCCGATTGATGATGTATTCAACACATTTCCTTGTTGCATCAAATACCAATTTGGCCTGAATGGGTGAGAGAATGGCTAATAAGGAAACGGTTAAGTCTTCTTGTTGGATGAGCCTTTGGATTTCATCAAGCTGGTCTTGGGCGAGGAAGCCTTAATGTACTATGTTGCTCAGCAAGTTGTTCTCAGACTCCTTGGCAGAGTCTGGTTCTAATTACCCACACTGCGCTCTTGTGCAGGTGACAGTGTGTCTTGTGATATCCGGAGACTCAAAGCAGTGAAGGCCCATATGATACAGCTCTCTGACAGGTGTTTGCCTGCTCCTCAGATGTTTCTGCTACATATTTTGGATCATGTGGGGAATAATCACAACACTGGAGTGGAATGTTTACTTAGGAAGGAAGGAAAGACGGAAGAGAGAGAATAGTTGTCTCTTTCCTCTGATACTTTCTCTGTGTCCTGAAATGGCCCAGGAATGTGCTAAGTCAGGGGCGGACTGGCCAAGGCTGGAGCTGCCTGACCACAGAGGAGAACAAGGCGCCCCCGCTTGCTGGCTCCTCACTGGGCACATACATCATTTGCAGTTGCTCTGAAGGCCAGCTTTGCTGACAGCTAATGTTAAGGGGACACGCGCCCGGAGATATGGCTTCCAAGCTTGTGTAGCAGTAGCCAGCCAGGCTCTCCAACTCCTAGTTTTGGGTGGATTTGATGACTCCCTGGGAAGGGGCGTTTTCTTGGCTGTTTGTTCCTGAGCTGCCTGGAACCTTGTACTTAGAACATAACAGGTGAAACTTTCTTTAAGACCTTCTAGTGCAGGCCACCATTTTACAGATGGGGAAACTGGGGTTCTCAGATGGCAAGGAGCTTATTCAATGTCACAGAGCAAATTGATTTTTATAATCTTTACCAACATCGGAAAAAAAGTTGCAGAAAAGTAAAATCAACTGTAATAACCAACCTTTATCACACATCTACTCTGAGCCAGACCCCGTGTTAAGAACCTTACATGCACTATTTAATTTAATTTTCAGAGAAAGCTAGCAGGTAGCTAGTGCTTATTATTTCTAGTTCCTCAACGGGGCAATGCAATTCTTTCAAATGCAGTTCTCTCAGAGAATAAATGCGCAGGAACCAGCACTTAAATCCTTACCTTTTGATTCTGCATTTGGAATCACTAGGCTCTTCCAACCTCTCAACTGATTGTAGTTTCAACAACAGCCCTTCCCATTTTCCTGTAATTTAAAAAGAAAAGCAACTTGCCCAGGGCCCCTCCAGTGGGTACTGACAATATTGTTATTGCTATTGAAAGAAGTTAATATTTATCAAGCACTTAACTTGTGCCAGGGATTGAGCTGTGTGCATTCCGTTCTATTTAATTTTTACTACAATCATAGAGGAAGGCAGGTGTTACTAGGCAAAGTCCTTGAGGGCTGGGGAGGTAAAAAGTAACTTTTGCATGTGTTTTATGCTTAGTAAGTCAGGATTCAAGCAGAAGCCACTCAGCTCCAAATTTGAGTTGCCTGACTCTGCTTTGTAAGTCCAAGTATCTCAGAACCACCTATACATATGTCTCATTTAGTCCACATACTAACCCTGTAGGAAAGGACTGAGGAGACCTGGGTATAATTCTAGCTAACTACTATGTGTACCATATGCTCTTGCGCTCCCCCTCTGTGTGCCTTAGTTTCCTCCTGTGTGAACAAAGAGTAGTATCCTCGTTCACGCGTAGCACTTTGTAAGACCTTGAATGTGCATGTGTCTCCCAGGTGAAAAGGGCCAAGCAGGAATTCTTCTGGTTCTTGCCATGGATCCATTTATCCCTCAAGGTCTGGGTGCTTTGTCTGTTGTCCCATCCATTCAGCTCACCACCGGAGGGTCCACATTTGCTGTGAGTTACATGACAGCTGGGTTTGCATTTTCTTCAGATGGAGCATGGCGTGGGTATTAAGTGGCTGTCAGCAAGACCTTTTTCTAGCTGGCTCAGGAGGCCAACAGGGCGGCTGGCAGTGCTCCCTCCAGATGTCTGTGGTGCCTGAGGAGGGGAGCAGTGGGGCCTCCGACACTGAGTCCTTATCCCTTTGGGCTTGAAGGGTAGCACACAGCAGGCATTGGCTCCAAGCAGGCAGGCTGGCTACATCCTGCTTCCAAATGCTGTGCACCTCCATGAAACAGCAGAGGACCAGGCCAGAGAGGTGTTACTAATGAGAATGGCCCCAGAAGCTAGCTTCAGGCTCTTCTCCCCCCATCAACATCACATTCTAATTATTTCTTTTCTTTCTTTCCCTTTTTTTTTTTTTTTTTTTTAACATTCTAATCATTTCACTGCATTTGGCCATTTGGGCTGTTGGGATTTCTAGGGAAAAGATTTATTTTAACCTTAGCCAGTTTTACTGTATTCTTTTTTATCCAAGTGAGGGAATATTGTTTCCAGTCTAAGCTGATTTCTTCCCTATTCTAATTCTGAAAGTCTTGATTTTATCTTAAACCTAGAAGAGGCAAGTAACTTTTTGGAGAGCCAATTCTTTGCGGAACACTCTGCTAAGACTTTGCGGACATTACCCCAGATCATTCCCTCAAAACCCAAACAATTCTCTCCCCACCCCACCCCGCTTCGGTCTCCCTTGCTGGCTCGTCCTTTGAAAGTTGAGGGCTGCAGTACTCAGATCTTAGTCACTTTTTCTTTGCAGGTGATCTTCCCCAGCCCTTTGGCTTCCCTTTCACTCTGTGGGTGACTCCCAGTGTGTGATTCCAGGCCCAGCTCTTCACCCAGCTGCAGACTCCTGTTCCCACCTGGACGTCTGAGAGGCACTCCAAGACCTGGCCCTGCCTGTGTCCCCAGTCTTGTTCCTTTCCACTGCCCCTGTTGGCCACCATGACCTTTCTGCTATTCCTTGGCACTGCTAACTCTCCCCACTCAAGGTCATCATAGCTGCTGGCCTCGCTGCTTGGGAGCTGGTTCCCCAATATTTTCATGGTACGTCATTCTTCATTCGAGTTCTTCCCTCTGACCCCATCATTGAACCAGCAGGACCCCACCTCCCACTCTCTGGCCTTAATCTTTCCTTTGGGTTTTTCTGTGTCAGCATTTACCTTACCTAAAATGACATGGCGTGCTTATGCATAAACATTCATAAATTTGAGGCCATCGTCATGTTCACTGCTGTCCCTCAGGACCTGGATGTGGCTGTGCATGGATGGGGCCCATGAGTCTTTGTTATGTGTAAAATGTAAAATGAAAGAGTAATAATGAATCAGACATTTGATAGATGAGGAGACAGAGGCTGACAGACATACTATACCCTATGTGACGTGCCTATTTCTCCCTCTGAAAAGATGTAATCACTTTAATCAAGATTACGTACATAAAAACAAAGCATTGCATGTTTGATAATAATTGAGAATTTAAACTAAGGATAGGTCTTTTTTAGTTGTCCAGATAACAAAACTCAATATGTGCATGTCATAGCCGCTATGAAAATGTCTTGTGGCCATTACTTACTATGCGTATTGCCAGTCTGTTTTCCTCAGCCCATGCTTTTCTGATCTCACACGTAAGCTTGTTGCTTATTATGTACACATAAACTTGGTACCCACATCTCTTTGTCAGCCCTGGTAGATGGCTGCTTATCTGGGAATCTAAGTACTAGTATCTCCAAAGAAAATTGTTCCTAGAAGGTTTTAAAAAATTACCTATTTAAAAATCTCCACATCAGCGGGGAATGGTTTGTCATAGTGCCTGCTGTGTGCCCTTAGGGCGAGGATCCAGTTGACTGGATGCTCAGAAGGTGCCACAGTGCAGGCTCTGGGGACACAGAGTCAGGAGGCCCCAGTCCTCCGGTGTTGGGAGAATCCAGTTGTTTGGAACTTTTATGTTGCAATCATGTGAGTGTATTTTATATATCCATTTCTTCAATCCTCTAATAGGAAGAAAGGCCACAGGAATATGCAGCCAGAAGTTTGTGAGCTCCATCAATTTATTTTTTAAAAATCATCTACCCTTTTGTTTTTTAAAAGTCTAAACTGGGATTACCATGAACCCAAGACAGTTCAGCGTCTGGACATCCAGAGTACATAACCTTCCCCCGACTTTGTTTCCCAACTGTTTGGCCCACCTGGAAGTTTGACTGTCGCTCAGTTCCCCTGTTGGCCTTTTTCTTTCTGGCTGTGACCCTGTCTCCCTCTCTTCCTTTATCAAGACCTCTACCCCATGTCTCTTCTGACTCACAATCCTTCAGCGACCCAGAGACCAACTCTGTTTGTATCTGCCCCACACGGTGGAATGCGGCTTCCAACAAGGTGTCCTCACTTGCTCGGTCCAGCCTCCCAGTCAGGACCAGGAGATGGACGCCCTCCTCTCCAGCCACAATGAAAGTTCCCCCTCATAGTGAGGGTTTCTTGTGCTTCTGTATTCTTTCCGAATCTGGCCCAACACTGGCTGCCTATGGTCCCTCAGTAAATAGTCCTCATTTGACTCACTTTTTGTGTGTGGCAGCCAGTTGCTCTTTTCATCATCTGTAGACTTGAGGACAGTCCTGCCAATCTGGGTCAGTGGTCTGTCTTCCCAGAGGGCATGGGGGAGTCTTCTGTAGCAACGGAGCTGTTTGCCTCCGGTGTCCCCCAGCGCCAGATGTGTCCATATTCATCCCAGAGGAGGGCTGGACATGGACCAGGAGTCAGTGGGAGAGCAGGAAGTGTGCTGGTGCTCTTTTCTCTTCCAGCAAAATTCTGGGAAATTGTCCTTTTCCTAGAGCTTGAATTTTTGTATTCTGCCCCCTACTACACACACACACACACACACACACACACACACACACACACACACACACACAAGCTCAGCTCTTGCTGTACATCAGTCTGAATTTACTGTCCGCCCAGCCTCTCCTCCCCATTAAATTAGATATTAGAGAGATACATCAGCCAGCGCTGTTCGGAGTACAGTTGGAAGTCTCTGTAGATGAACCATTGGATTCTGTGGCTTAGACGTGAATTTATCTGCAGAATTATGTGGAAGCCTCTTGCTCTCATCTGCACAGATGTTCAGGCCCTGTCGCTCCACCTAATAAGACGTTGAACTAGCCAGGAGCTCTTAACAGGAGAATCTCATGTTATTATCACTTGGCATTCCTGCGGCTCTTTATTTTCCATCTTCTGGTGCTGATGGTGGGGGCTGTGCATTTACGATCATTTTATTAGCCTCTGTTCAAAGACCCATTTTTATTAAAAACACAAATATCACTATACATATCTGGGTAGGGAGGTAGGCAGGGATTTTGGAAGAGACTAGGCAAAATAATTGACTATCTAGAGTTTTAAACTGTTACTTGGGTGAATGATTACAGGACAATCACAGGCTTTTTTTCCTGTAAGCAGACTTCATCCCTTTTCAGATGGGAGCCAACAGCTCAGTGCTCACTGATTTAAAGTTAGACACATCTCGGGGGAAAAGGTAAGTTTGGGGAGATAATTTTAAGAGAAACCTTGCTTTGTATTTTACGTAGCTATTTCCTGGTCATTTTTTTTTCGCCTCAATTTTTTTCTTATTTGTCCATTTCTTGTTATGTGGCCCAATATATTCCTTGTTATTAAAGCTGGGATTTAGCTCAGTGGTTCTGCCGCCTGCCTTGCAAGCGCAAGGACCCGAGTTCGATCCCTGGTACCAAAAAAAAAAAAAAAAGCTGAGTTAAAATGAATTTTCTGTCATTTGTTGGAGAAGCATCCTAGTTGGGAAATAGAGATAAAATACACACGCTTGGCAGTTTCCAAAGTGCCTAAACAATGATTGCCCGATGTAAGCCTCATGACAAACCTGACACAGAAGACAAGGGACTTGGAGGAAACAAGGGACTCTGCTGCTGCTACAGTGCTAGTGACCAGTAGAGCTGGACCTGAACCCAAGTCTTTAATTTGTTTTGAATTGTTTCTACAGTCTCACATTGTTTCTCCAGGAAATAGGTTTGTTCATTTTTTTTTGATCGTCCATGCAACCACCTGCCCATCCATCTATCATCCATCCATCTATGTAAAACTATTCACTGAAAACTTTCTATATACCAGATGCTGTCTGGAACTTCCAGCTTAGCAGAGAAGACAGTAAGTGAATGGATAATTAAAGTGTGACAAGTGTTCAGACATTAGCACTGGGGTGCTGGGGCAACAAAGGAGGGATTCTAAGCCTGGAGAAGTGGCCAGGGAGCAGTTCCTGTGGGAAGCAACACTGGGCCTGAGTGTGTGCGTGTGTATGTTTAACAAGCATTTATTTCTCTGGGTTG